ATCTCCATCACCTCCATCATCTCCATCTCATCTCCATCATCCCCACCTCATCTCCATCACCTCCATCATCTTCATCTCATCTCCATCTCCATCACCATCTCATTGCCATCTCCATCTCTGTCATCTCATCTCCATCTCCATCATGGGTGATCACCACACCTGTCAAATAAGCATGCTGTTCCCCACCTTCCCCAGCCCATACCACCCTCACTAACCTCCTTCGCGTAGCCTAGTGTCTGGCACACAAGAGGTGCTCGATACATTTTTATCGAATGAATGAATTTTGCTTACTCTTGGAAGGTGCTCTTGTCCTTTCTTTCATGCTCGTGGATTCCTGAGGCCACCAGTGTTGGCTGTTAACTAACTGGTAGTAGGCATCACGTCATGCTAATTCAGTAGACCCCTTTTCTGTGGCCGATGCCTTAAGCTAAATTTCTGTTCATGAATGATGTGTCCATTAGATTAAAGCATTTCAATTTTGTTAATGCTTTTTTTTTCAGGGGTTTAGCCCCTCAGAATAAGCCAGAACTGCAGAAAGTGATGGAAAAGAGAAAACGAGATCAAGTAATAAAGCAGAAGGAAGAAGAAGCACAAAAGAAGAAATCTGACTTGGAAATAGAACTATTAAAACGGCAGCAGAAGTTGGAGCAGGTAAGGGTGACTGGGGGAAAGTCGTCTTTTTTTTTTTTCTTATTGTGATGCATTTGACATCCATCATCGTGAAAGTTTAAGGTGTACAGCATATTGATTTGGTACATTTATGTTGCAATATGATTGCGTTGTATCCTTAGCTGACATCTCTATCATGTCACCTAATTATTGTTTCGTCTAGTGGTGGGAGCAATTAAGATCTATTCTTTCAGCAAGTTTCATGTTTATGATACAGTTTTGTCTGTAATCACTATGCTGTGTATTAGGTCTACAGGACTTACTTATCTACTGGGGCAAGTATGTACCCTTAAACACTGTCTCTCCCATTCCCCACCGCCAAACCCCCAGTAACCACCATTCTACTCTCTGCTTTACAAGTTCATTTTATTTTTTAGATTCCACATATAGGAGATATCATACAGTACTTGTCTTTCTCGGTCCGACTCATTTCT